AGTTAACGATTATAATGTATGTGATTAGGTATCATACAGGGTCACTTGCATTTGGATCATTGATTATCGCCATTGTCCAGCTGATACGAGCCGGTTTGGAGTACCTTGATCACAAGTTGAACGGTATGATTACTTTCATAAATCAAGGTAGTAAAGTGCTCATTGACCATGCGCATCCCATCCTCGGGAACCCAGGTGTAATGTAGTTAACGATTATAATGTATGTGATTAGGTATCATACAGGGTCACTTGCATTTGGATCATTGATTATCGCCATTGTCCAGCTGATACGAGCCGGTTTGGAGTACCTTGATCACAAGTTGAACGGTATGATTACTTTCATAAATCAAGGTAGTAAAGTGCTCATTGACCATGCGCATCCCATCCTCGGGAACCCAGGTGTAATGTTTCGCGTTCGTCGTTCCCAGRAGTAATTTAAAATACCCCTGAATATGAAATCTGTTRRACTTTAATCCGGAAGTTGAAGTTACCCGACAAGTTTTAACGATCGCATGACATTGCATGTTTTACGGCATTTGAACATATAGTAGACCTAACTACGTTTCCACCCAATTCAAACCACCGGAACCAGGGGCATTATTTCTGGGAGCGAGGAATCATCGACCTTATTAACGCGAAGAGAGCCTTTGCATTGTTCAATAAAAGGACTAAAGATAATCTTGTCACCTGGTCATTGAAAAAGGGTTTTTGGTCAGGGAGAAGTCAGGGAATTTTACTTTTAAAGATGAGTGGGAACCTTGATATTTTATATGTTTGTCTAGTATTTTTTATACTAAAACCGTAGTAAGGTCCTCTCTCTATACACATTAGGGGGTCCTGGTCAACAAGGAGAGATAGCCAAGTACATTATGAAGTAAGTAAAGTACATTAAGCTGTATTGTTTGAAAGACCATCTGCCGTTTCAGCGAAGAAACAGTGTGATGCGTAAATTTTAATTCTGATTGTAAATGCTCTCCATTATTATAGGTGTTTGAAATGCTGCTTTTGGTGTCTTGAGAAGTTCCTTAAATTTCTTAACAAGAACGCTTACATCGAGGTATCCATTGAAATAATTTCAACAAAGTCATTTTTGATGCATCGTTGATTGACCTGCTTACTCTCATCAACAGATCGCGGTTTATGGGAAAAACTTCTGTGTTTCAGCCAAAAATGCTTTCTTTTTGTTAATGAGAAACATTTTAAGGTAAATGAATGTTTACAGGCTATTTGATGACAATGAGAATCAATACTGTATTTTCTTGTTTACAGGGTTGTTGTCCTTGACAAAGTCACAGACTTTATTCTCTTTATTGGACAACTGTCAATCACGTTTGGTGTGGGTACGTCATAAATGGAATACATTATAACACATGCTTTACGTACTATATGGCCGTAGCCGGGTAAAGGTGGTAGATAATACTCTACCAGGGCGTAACCAATGGGTGGAGGGAGAGGGGAGTAATAATCAGTTCTAACCAACAAGGGCCTTTGGGTGAGGAGGAGCTTGTACTTCAGGTCATAGCCTAGCCGGGTAAAGTGAATTTGTATTTCTCCATGAAGGCAAAAGGTCCTCTTAAGGGTAAACAAATCAGAATAAGAATAATATAGCACTAACACCCTTTCATGGGCTTCCTGTTTATCTTTATTTCTTTACTACAGGAGTTGGAAGTTTCTACTGGTTCAAGAGGCAGTCTAACCTCAACTATTACCTTGCACCTGTCTTTGTAAGGACTAATCGTGTTTGACTGATTGTTTCAAATTATTGCTAATGTATAGTTATTGTAAGGACTAATCGTGTCTGAT